ACTTTAAGTAGCTGGATTTTATGGGGCTGCTCTGGGCCTGCTTTCTGAGTCCACACCCTGAGTCCTGACTGCCTGTGTTGGAATAACCCAGTGCTGCCACTTGCTTGTTGTGGCTGTGGACAAGTTTCAGTTTCCTCGGTAGAGTGGGAATCGTAAAAGTGTCTGTAGCACATGGTGATGCGAAGGCCAGACAGGCGATGCAGAGTGCTCCAAGCATGTCTGGGCTCTTCTAAGCACCATCGCTGTGCGGGTGATGCTTAACTGAAGAGACACTTCCCAGCCCAGAGGAAGCAGTGAAGGGTTCACTCCTCAGCTCCCCACCTGTCCAGCAAGGGAAGGTTGTCCTGGGAATGGTGTCACGGAAAGTGTCGAAGGACCTGTCACATGCTCCCAGCAAGGTGGCATCTGGAGAACCTAAAAGCTTTCTGAGGTTTCTTAAATGGTGGGAACAGAGAGGGTCCCCTAGGTGGCACGTTTCATGACAGCTTAACCTTTGTGTCTCCACTGCCCAGCAGAGCCAGCCGGAAGCAGGCACCCAGGAAATATTTGTTAATGACTGAACGAGGGACTGAATGAAGGAGAATGGCTTGTGGCCATTAGTTGGGGAAGGGGGAATATTGGCTTTTCTTTGAGTTTAAGGTAGTAGGAAGTTGAAAATATGTATTAATGAGGTTAATTAATGGTTAACAACTAAGTAGCTTATTACATTAACTTAAATTGGACACATTAGGTTGGATGCTTACTGTTCCCTGTCGGAATCGATGTGTTTGGAGACTGTACTCATTAGGCATGAAAGAGTGAGGCCTCCTTGAGGCCTTTGTCACAGGGGAGTAGAGAATTCCTTCAACTTACACCTCTGTCCCAGTTGTCAGTGATTTAAGGGTCTCTAAACCAGGAATGTGCCTGTATTAGGGCAGCAAGTCAGGGTGCCAGGAGACTGGGTCACCACAGAGAGGTCCTGGGAGGCTCTGGAGGGAGCTCGGTGCCCCTTGCTGATCCTGGCCTTCTGTTCTCTGATGGTACACTCCTCCCGCTCACTCGCAGATAGCCAGTGGCCTGCAGCCCTGCTCTCCCTATCTCCCCTCTAGGTGCTTCTCTCACTTCCTTTGCCCTGGATGCTTTGGGTTTTTGTGGGACTGCTTGCAGAACACACCAGGCTCCTTCCTAACTTAGGATCTGGTCCCTGCTGTTGAGTATCCTCCCATGTCACCATACAAGTCCCTTTTCATTGCTAGAGTCCTGAGCATTCTGTCTGAGTGGCACCCCCATCCCTACTCCAACACTGAATCCCCTTTTCCTGCTTGATTTTTCTTTTGATCAGGCATTGTGTGTGTATGTGTGTGGGGGGGTGTATGTGTGTGTGTTTGAGTTTATCTGTCTTCCTCTCCCAGTAACACATTGTTGGTCCAATTGTGATGCCCAGAACATCGGCCCCAGCAGGAATTCAGAAATCTATTAATATGTTGAGTAGGTATTGCAGTTTCTTTTACATAAGATCAATCTGGGAATAATTCCAGGATCAAATTATGACTCTTTAGTGCAAGAACCAAGATAACCCTGTTTAGAAAATGATAGTGCATTCAACACTATCAGGATATGCATAGAAAAGAGAGCCCCGTTTATAAGTGTATAGGGGAGAGGTTTTTTTTTTTTTTTTTAAATCTTATTTTGTTCCAAAGATTTACCTCTAAATTGTTTATTTGGAATTGAGAGCATACAACATTTTGTAAAAAGGGATTTTTTATACAACCAGCCTTTCATATCCATATAGGGAGGATTTGACTGACATCAGATTGAAAATATTTGGAAAACAAGTTGCCTGTGTACTGAACTTGTTCAGATTTTTTTGTTGTTATTTTTCCCAAATAATATGCCCTAACATCTGTTTACATAGCATTTATATTTTATTGGGTGTTATAATCTAGAGATGATGGAAAGTGTATGGGGAAGATGTGCGTAGTGTATGTGTTGATACTTCACCATTTACCCAAGTGACTGAGCATTTGTGGTCTTTGGCATGGGGGTGGGTATTGGAGCCAGTTTCTCACCTACAGAGGGACCACTATATTGACCCCAAAGAATACCCACCTCAAAATCAAGAATTCAGCCACATATGAAGAAAACACTTTCTGTTTTAGATGACCCTGCTATTTTATTTATTTATGTCTCTTCCTTTTTTAATAGAAAAATTTAAGTTAGCTTAAGGAATAGTATTTCATTTGAGTAACAACAAACATTTCAAGTCTGTTGTTAAGCATTGGGAACGCAGTGCTGAGCAAGACAGACACCATCTGTCTTCTCGGCAGTCTCCCAGGGGAGGCACTCATTAAACACATAATTATACAAATAATTATTAAAATATGTAATAAGAACTATGAAAGAAAAATAAGGAAAGCTAGAAGGTGTTTCTTTATAGGCTGGTCATCCCACAACTTCCCCTCTTCTACTTCTCAAGTCATTACTTTTTCTAAGAATGTTCCAGGGAGTTTGCAGTCAGACCCACTGCTGTGGAGAGTCCAGCAGCTGGGGAGGTGGGAGGAGAGGCCCAAGGCCACTGTGTCTGGAGTGGGTTGCTGTGAACTTAGGTTCCTTGTTATAGTTGAGTCCTATTATTGTATGAGCCCATGTGAAAAATCATGGGTTGACCTAAACAGGTAAGCAAAGCCATAGGAATTTTCCTTTTTCTTGTTTTTGCCTGACAGCTTTGCTGAGGTTCTTTATATTCATAGGTGATTCAGAAGCTTTAGTCTCTGTGGTCTCTGTCTTGTTCTTGAGTTTCATGTCTCCTGTGGGCATGGCCATGTCTTCTGTAGGAAGTCTTCTGTTGAGTTTTCCATGCAAGTCTGGAAGTTTTAGGACAGAAATTATCAGATTATATTCCAGAGATTTAAATGCAGATCCCACAGTGGTTGTGAACTTAGGCTCCAGAGTTAGACAAGGGTTCAGATTCCGGCCTCGCTTGAGCAATTTAGTCCCTTTCCCTGAGTCCCACTTTCCTCTTCTAGTGTGTGTCAGGGGCAGGACAGGAAGGCACTGGTAGCACCTGTCCCTTGGACTGTTTGGGGTAAACTCCATCAAGCGTGTAAGACTGTTAGCACAGGACCTCGCACCAAGGGAGTCTGCAGAATGTCGTGTGGAGCTGTTATTCCTGTTACTGTGGCAGCGCCTGAAAGAGGGCTAGCAGACGCTGTCCTTTCAGGGAAGTGCTCCTGGGGAGGGCAGATGGTGCCAGGTCTTTGCCCAGGATCACAGCCCAGAAAGGGGAAGAGAATTCCCTCTGTACTAAATGGCCTGGGCTTCTACGACTCTGGCTAGTATTTGTTAATATCACTTAATTTTTCAATGTTATAATCATTATGTATCCTTGGATATAATTACCAACTTAACACCTTATTTTTCCCCTTTGGAAAAACTTTATCCACATTTAAAAAACCCAGCTTACAGAATAAAAATGTAAAAACAGGGATATCATATTTAGAAGTGAGAAATGTCAGTCCTAATTTTATTCACAGTTTAGGTAATCTGAAGCCATGAGGCCATTTTCTGGGACAATTTGATTTTCCCAGGGTCTGGAAGGCCTGTGTAGGGTTTTGTCAAGACAAAGGTGGAGGGCTGGGGATGTGGCTCAGTGGTAGAGTGCTCGCCTCACATGTGAGAAGCACTGGGTCAATCCTCAGCACCATATAAAAATAAATTAATTAAATAAAGGTATCGTGTTCATCTACAATTAAAAAAATATTAAAAAAAAAAAAAAGACAAAGGTGGAACTCAGGCAGAGCCGGGCATTTGTGCACTGGTGTCTTGACCCTGCTCAAGAGGTGACCCTGGTCTGTGCACCCCTGCAGACTTGCTGGCTGTCTACACAGGCCAGGGAGCAGACCGTCGATATGACTGGGAGATTTATTTCTCGAAGCAGCTATTGATGTTTAAAAAAAGGTTGAGGTATTGGAAATCTGCAAATTTGGATGATTTTATTTTCTTGGCACATGAACATTCTTAAAAAGTATAAAAGCTTCATTGTTGTTGGGAAAAATTAATCTTTTTAGCTCGGAACTTTTTTTTTTTTTTTTTGCCTACATTGGCTTCTTTGAAAATCATTGAAACATTTCTTTGCAGTGAAATAAAATACTCATACTACAAAATTCATCATTCTTAGAAGGGGTGTGATAAACAAATCAGTTCTTTAGGGTTTATGTGGTACCAGTTACTAGACACTTGGTTTTCCATCAATTTAAAAATTATTTTTAAAGTAATAGTTATGCTCTACCAATTGGCGCAGATCCTTCCATACGTGTCTTAAATTATGATGAATTCTTCCAAACTTTGACAAGTAGTTGTATAAAATTCTCTATTTCCTAGTACCTTGGGATGTTGGGATGGCTTTACTGTTTAGCGGTTGGCATACAGTGGTCAGCTCCTGTTTCCTGGAAGGTCAGAGTTCCAGTGTGGACTGTAGGAAGAGTGCAGTGCTCCTGGGGAGAATATGTGAGTTGTGGTCAAGTTGGGTGTGGTCGCTACAGGGATGCATGAGTGAGGCTCTGGCAGATTAGTCAGGACAGGCTTTATGGTATGTGTAGGTTTTACAGTTATTCTTTTAAGTGGGGAGTGTTGATTTTTATTTTCAAAATGTGCTTATAGCTACTGGTAACTTTTGATTTTAAATTAAGCTTAAGATGTATTTTTCTGTAGGATTCTGTTGCACTTTAAAAAGCAGTATGGTGCTGGAGATTCATGTATTTTGAAAATGGCTGCAGTGGCAGGACCAAAATAGATCAACACAGATGTGCTTGAAGGTTGAGTGGTTTCCTTTGGGCACTAACAAATAGGCATCAGAGTAACTGCCCAAATGCTTAGCATCATTGTTTCGGATTTGCCCACTTCAGATTTCAGTTGTATTTTTGCATATTTACTTATTGGACCAGATAGAAAAACAAAATAAAACAAAACACTACTTGTACTTTCTTCCTTTTGCTCTGATCCTTCTCTGTCTTGGCTTGCAGAACGCTCCTGAGCCTTTGGCAGCTGCTGAGACCCTGGCTGAGGTACCTGAACACGTGCTGCGAGGACTTCCGGAGGAAGTGAGGCTGTTCCCATCAGCTGTTGACAAGACCCGGATCGGTAAGTACTGCATTCAGAGAGATGGGCAGCAGAGCAGGCAGAGTCCTGTGGGAGCAAGTGAGGTGGCAGGCAGCACACCCGAGGGCAGTGGATTTGCCCTGACTTAAACTAGGCACACACCCACACCCCATCCTTGCTGACTCTTCCAGGCGTCCCCTGCATCTCCTGGGCTTCTTCCAACAGGATGTGGTGTTCTCTTCTCTCTGTCTTCACTGTGGCTTTTGTATGATCGTGTTATTATGCTTATTTCATTATTCTGTGGTTGTCTTTACGTCTGTCCCGGTCCTTGATAGTGAGTACCTTCATTTCTTACTTGCCTTTGTGTCTCCAGTACCAGCACTTTATGGACTCTCAGTAGATCTTTGAATGAATGACATGACCCCGGTGTGTCCGAATCTTCTGGTATGGTTTCTCATTGAATACAAACCAAGCTTGTGTGTATTGGGTTATTTTTATTTATAGAAGGCTAAGGAGGTAAATTTTAAAAATCCAATCAAAATGTCTTGGACTATATCATGTTTATATCCCATTTCTTTATTTTTTTAAGATGTACTTCTGATATTATAGTTTATATACATATGTAGTGAATAAATTTTTAATAAATGTTTTCCTAATTCTCATTGAAAATTTATTTGCTGAACAGTTAAGAGTGTTAATTTGGGGCTGGGTTGTGGCTCTGTGTTAAAGCACTTGCCCAGCATGTGTGAGGCACTGGGTTCAATCCTTAGCACTACATAAAAATAAACAAATAAAACAAAGTTGTTCTGTCCATCTACAACTACAAACAAAAAAAAAGTGTTAATTTTGTATAAGTGAAAGGAATTAATTTTATAGCTCAGCATATTGTTTGCTAACTGCATGTCATCAAATGCAGTTCATAGCCGACCTACAAAAAAGTGGAATTCATATGTCCTCTCAGGACAGGACTGGCCCACCCTCTACTCCATTCTGTACATAAGGACACTGAGGTTAGAAAATGAGGGAGCCTGTACAGAGTGGCCCTGAGTGCCAATTTTCTTGACTCCCAGGCTGGGCTCCTGCTGATTCACCAACTTGCTTTTTTCATCGCATCCATTTGCTTATGATCTGTACACAGAAGATAGAAACAATCCTAGGCATACCTGGATGAACATGCATTTTGATTGTTTGAAACTGTAAAAAACAAGTTGTCTCAGTAGCTACGTTTTCAGGAAGTGTTGCTAGAGAGAAGAGGTTTTCCACTGTAAACAAATGAATGTCAAATGAATGTAAAAAATATTTGCTTATAAAATTACATTTCTAATTCTTTATAAAAACAAGTCATGTTTAGTGGAGAAAATTTGAAATCTGTAGAAATGTAAAATGAAGAGTTTTTTTATTTACTTGCATTTTGATACTAGGGTTTGAACATGGGAACATTTTACCATTGAGCCACATCCCCAGTCCTTTTTATTTTTTATTTTGAGATAGGGTCTCACTAAGTTTCTGAGGTTGGAACTTGTGATCCTTCTGCCTCAGCTTCCTGAGTTGCAGGGACTACCAGTGTGCACTGCCATGACTGGCATGAAAAGTTTAAATTGTTTTAGTTTTATTCCATTCTAATATCTTTTCTCTTCAGTTGTGATTGTTTTCGAAGTGTTTGTGATTGTACTATATGAGCAGTCTTACGTGGAAAAATTAAATATACAACTTTTTCTGATTATAACACAATACAGGTTCTTTAAACCTATTTAGAAAATATTGAAAAGTATAAAGAAGAAAAATTAAAATCCCTATTGAGGATTTGATGTAATTTGATTTATCTCAGTTGATTTAACATTATCTTACTTTTAGGGAATCTAGCTTTTTAACTATTTCGTGAAATTGAATTGACTTCATTCAATGCTTTCAATCTTTAAAATAATCACAATACATTTAAAAATATTGATTTTATTTTCTAGGTGTCTGGGCCACTAAACCAATTTTAAAAGGCAAAAAGTTTGGGCCATTTGTTGGTGATAAGAAAAAAAGATCTCAGGTTAAGAATAATGTATACATGTGGGAGGTAAGAAAGAATTCTGGTTCTTTGTTTATCAGAGTTCTGTACATTTTAAAGACATCATGATCCTGTTCTCTCAGGTTTTCTCATTTTGAACTTAAAACAATCATTTTAATATGTTCTTTAAAATCAAGAATATTTTTATTAAAGAGAAAATGTGTTTCCTGGGTACAGACTTCTACTGATAACGTATTTTTGTATTTGAACCTGCTTGACTGTTCTCGACAATAAACATCAAATTTGTTTTTTATTTTGACTGTCCAGGTGTTTTGCTTTGCAACTAAGACCTCAACTTCCTGTGTGGTGGTTTGTCACTTTACAGGTGTCACTAGATATATACCATAAAAGACTCTCCAAGTGGCTGCAAAGAAAACACTGGTTACTCTATATTTTAGAAAGTAATTTTTGTATCCTTGGAATACTTAGAATTGGTTATATTTAGCACATGGCACACTAAAAAGCATTTAATTTTTCGGAAGATTTTCATTCATTAATTTTGTGATCTCACAACAGTTCTGGAAAATGGAACAGGGCAAGAGCAGGCCCCTTTTAAAGGAGAGCTAGCCAGGAAACAGGCCCGGGCTTGAGGAGTACAGATGCAGAGTCAGGAGCCATCTGTCCTACCTTAAAGTGGGGCATTTAAATTGTTGTCTTTCATTGACTGGGCTCAGATTCTGCTTCTGATTTCATGACTTTGAGCAGGGTACCTGACCTCAGCAGTGAAATCCTCAATTTAAACAATGGGGATACTAAAAGAAATCACATTAGGATAGTTGAGAAGACAAAAATTTGTCAGTGTCATTCTGTAGATATTCTGTGTGAATTCTGCACTTATGTTGATTGTAGTTCAGACCAGTGCCCTGTTCAAGCTCCTCAGGTATTGGAGGGTTGTGGTGTGACTCCTTTAAAAGCAAGTTAAGTTTTTTGAATAAGCATTCCATTAGGTTGTCTTAAATTGAATCACATCTGCTTCTCACATATTAACATCTGAAAGCCTGAAAGCAAAACATGGCTAGGAAATATTGGGCACTTCCTCCAGAAGTTCTGGGCACTGGGAGGCTTAAGATGTGGCTGTTTTTTCTAAGGCCATAGCAGTGTTCTTAACTTGGTCTGATGTTTCTCCATCATTTTGGGTTTGTTTCTTGTGAATCTTTTGTAATGCACCTCCTGAGAACTAACCCAGGGGCTTTAAGATAATTTGAGAGTCCTTGTGTTTTATCATTCAACTACTTCTGTGGTGAGAGAATTTTGTAATTGTAGGAAAACTGCCCAGGCAAAAAAGTCTTAATTACTGAAGAGAGTGCCTGTCTCTTTAAAAATGTCATTACCAGTGCTCCAAAATAAACTGTACTTTTAAATTTTAAAAGTTTATCAAGGGAAACTAACAAACATGCTCTACCAGGTTGAACACTAATCTCAGTGATGTTAAGGTACCAGCAAATGCTTGCTCTAGTTCTGTGTATGTAATGCCAAGTTTGAACAAATGCCATTCATATTAAGCTTAAGTTAAGGGCACCTATTTTTCCCAGTCTAACAATTTGTATTGTTAGGCATAATGTGTAAATGATTACTACTGCCTTATATGAATTTTGAGTTTGATTTGCACTGAAATTCATACATAGTATTGACTTGACAGTAGATTGTTGAAAAATTGTGATTTGGAACCATGAGATATTAGGGACTCACTTTCCACTCTGAACTTGTTACTACTCCGTTGTTAATGACACTTGTACTTACATACTAGTCATAGTTTGTAAATTCTTATAATGGTGCCAGTTCTCTTCTGTCAGGCTTAAGGATTTGGTTGTTAAGGCTGGCTTTCTTTTTCAGCAATTGAAATTGTAGGATCTCATTCACTTAGTTCCCACCATAGGGTGTATTTTTGATATAATGGACTTTAGGCCTCTTGTTTTTTTAAACTCTTTAAAAAATAAAGGTGTAGGGGTTGGGGTTATATGTAGCTCAATTGTAGAGTGCTTGCCTAGTACGTGTGAGGCCCTGGGTTCGATCCTCAGCATCATATTAAGATAAATAAATAACATAAAGGTATTGTGTCCATCTATAACTACAAAAAATATTTTTTTAAAAAATAAGGTATATGTATATATACACCTGCACGTGATATACAAGTATGCATGTGATGAACTATAGGAAATACAGGTTATAATGTATTGAAAAGATGAAAATGTAGTATTTTCCCATTTATTTATTCCAATTCTGGTCTTGTTCTCAGACTTGCATCAGAATGTCTCTAATGTAACAAGTGCTCATTGTCAGACTCTTATCTTGGTATGTGTTTTTCCATCAAGGCCCCTTAAACTGGCTTAGAACTCTTATTTTAAAGCTAGTCTAAGGCAAAGTGTTAAATTGCTTTTCTGGAGCCCTTGATAATCTAACCTGGACTGTGTCCTCTAAGCTTTTACTGAAAATATTCTACTGAGTCAGAAATAACAGGAGAAAAGCTGTAGAGTATGCTCAGGGTGAATGCACAAAATAGGTGCTCAGAAGAGGAGAGTGCGTTCTTCACTGTTTCTGGTGGGGAACGTTAGTGAACTGGCAGGCGGGGCTGTGTGCAGTATTCCTCTCAGCTACCCCAAGTGTGGAGCAATCTGCAGTGTTTTGAAACCACTTCTGATAAAAGCCTTCCCACTTGACTTCTGTGGTACTCAAATTACTTCTAGTGAGCAGAACTTTTGAATTGCTTGAATGAGAATTCTTTTAATATGTCTGTTTGTTAAAGAGACTTAATTTTTTACAGCAGTTTTAGTTTCACAGAAAAATTGACCTGAAAATATAGAAAAGTTTCTATCCTGTTCTGTTTCATGTTGCCATAATAAAATAACACAGACTGGGCAATTTATAGATGCTTTTTATTGGCTCACAGTTCTGGGGGCCAGGAGGTCTAAGATCTAGGAACTACATGCTGAAGGGCTTCTTGCTGCCTCACAGTGGCCAAAGGCATTGCAGGGCATTGAGCCCGCATCATCCCATCAGGCTCTTCCTCTCAACACTGTTGCATTGGGGATTGAGTTTCCAACACATGCTTTTGGGAGTTGCTCTCAAACCTTAATTTCCACCCCCACATTCTACACAAGCACAGCCTTCCCCACCATGAGTACCTCACACCAGACTGGGCCACTCATGACAGTTGTTGAACCTGCCTTGGCACATGTTTATCATCCAAAGTTCTTAGTTTATTTTAGGCCTCACTCTTGGTGATGTACATTCTAATAAGTCTTTTTTTTTTTAACTTTATACATTCTCATTGCAAAATCAATTAAACAGTACAGAAAAATAAACAAGAAGGTAAAAATTATTCCATCTCCTGGCACGCAGGTATAACCACTGTGAATGTCTTGGTGAACGTTCTTTTAACTCTGCTTTTCTGTCTGCTTTTTAAATGTCTCAAATATGGTGGGTGTATCATTACATCTGGCTCTTTTTTTTTTTTAATATTTATTTTTTAGTTATTGGCGGACACAACATCTTTGTATGTGGTGCAAAGGATCAAACCCAGGCCACACGCTTGCCAGGCCAGTGAGCTACCGCTTGAGCCACATCCCTAGCCCCCTGGTTCTTTTTAATAGTTTTTAAAAACCTTTCTTATGGATGAAATCTGATAATTCACTCTTTCTGTTTGTTTTATTCATTCAGGCAAAATTTGAGTCAAGAGGATGAAGGGAAATAGTAGAATTGCATGTCAATTAAACTTGATAGAGAAATGACTCTGAGATGAGAAGACTTTAATTTTTTAATGAAGTGAAAACACTTTTTATTAGTCAGCACCATTACGATTAATTAAATATTAGCAAGTGTGTGTCATAAACCTTGCTATCTCAATTCTTTTAATTTCAAGTCACTTTTAAGTTAAAATTGCATGGAAGAAGAAAGAGCGGAGAGAAGTCAGCTTGCTGATTCTGCAGACCTTTTTTCAGAAAGGGTCAATGAGCCCTTACAGCTGCTTTCCAGCCTCTTAACCTGTGTCAAAGCAGCCTCCTAGGAAAGGTCTGGATCTTTGGGGGAGTCCAACCTGCCCCCTGTTTTTTAAGCCCTGGAGTTACTAGGTTTTTTACATTTTTTTAGGAAAAAATCAGACGTTTTGTGACACATGAACATTTTGTGAAATTCAAATTTTAGTTCATGAGTAAAGTTTTATTGGAACATAGCTCTGTTCATTTGTTTACATGTTATCTGTGGCTGCTTTTGCCCCATAATGGCAGAGTTAAGCAGTGGCAACAGAGACTGTGTCTGGCCTGCTAAGCAGAAAATATTTTTTGCATAATCCTTGATGGAAAAAGTATGCTGAACCCGCCTGGTGTGTGAGGAAGAGGAGGATAGGAGCGAGCGAGCTAGCTAGCGTGGAAGTGCCTGGTGTTAAACGTTCAGTGAATGGTGCTGGGAAGTGGGATGGCTGCAGAGTTGGTTGTCATGGAAACAACTGAGCCAATCACATTCTTCTCTCAGGAATTGCAGGACAGATGAGGACATTGAAGTACAGAGGATTAATTGATATTTCTGAGCAAGTCAACTGTGCTCAGATTGTCAGCCTGGTCTAGGACAAAAAGGAATTTCTCTTTGGGATCTTATTATTTACCTATTTAGTGCCTATCTGTTAAGCTTTTACCAAATACCAGGCCCTGTCCTAAGTTCTGGAACATAGAGCTTGGTGTATAATTTTTGTCTTGTTATGAACTACTGGCGATACCTGATATCTGATGACATGTTCATGGAATGAAGGACTACCAGAAATAACCTAAATTTTACCACAAATCAGAAATTCTTGACCTCCTGGCCTGCTGGATGTCTGTAAGCTGGTAGCCCTGGAGTCACATCAGGAGCCACCTTTGGTTGCCTGTGCAGTTCTCTTCCCGTTGGCAAAGAGCATCCCGCAGATATGGCAGCACATCATGGCGAGCACACATGTAGGAACAAAACAGTCACATCTCAGACCTCAAACCAGAGCAGAGGGGGAGGGGACCGCAGGGCCCCACATTTTCTTTTGAGGG